GGGATGAGGTGCCTTTGTGCATGTCTTATCTAACAAAACATTGACAAATTATTATTTTCAATATTATGTGATCAAATAAGGCTACCAATAATAGTAGCTTTTAGATAGGATCTGAAAACGTATTGCTTTGCACCATGGCTCAGTGTGGAAGTGCGCAACGGGGAAGAAAGAAAAATATATGGTAAATATTAAAAATTACATACCTTTAAAAGCTGAGACTTAGAATAAGAAATATCTATCTGCAGTCATACTCCTGATTCTTCCTCCCAGAAGAAACCATTTTCTGTTATTTTCAGAGCTTGTCTCCATACTTCTAAATATAATTTTATCATTTAAAAATATTTTCAGTTTAGATATTAAAATTGTTAACTAAAGAGATTCAGCCCTTTTACATGAACCTACCGGTTCCATTATTTTCTCTCTTCCCATCTTCCCAAAGTAGTTATATCACAATTGATTAAATTGCTATTTAGTTGTTACATTATCATCACCCTTTAAATATTTTTGGCTAAGCAATTTATTAAATTTATTTTTTCTTGTATTTTTTATTTTCTATTTTTCTTTCTTGTACCTCTTACTAATTAATTCCCAAATATTTTGATGGAACTGCAATCTCTTGTCCATATATCCAAGCAGCTGTTTTGTTTATTTGTTTGTTGTCCTTTTTAGATATTTCTTAGAGTTCTCAATCCTTCTGCTTCAATTTTTACTTTCTTTGTTTCACAGATGGAATCTTGAGACTCTCCATTATGATCAGTCTGGGAATTTCCCTTTACCTCTTTCCTTCATCCTGTGTCCTGAATATCATGTTTTCATTATTTCTTGGTTTATACTCTGCTGGAGTACAAATCCTACAGTAGATTCTTGAGAAGGGCTGTAACTATTTTGCCTTCAGTTTTTGAGATGCTTGGGGCTTCATCTTACTGGCTTCCTGCACAGTCTTACTTAGTTATCAGCTTCTCTAAAGGCAATGTCAGTTACTATCCATTCTTCTAAGTTCTAAAATTTTGTTACATCTCTTATTTGCTGCTGTTTCCTACTCTGTTCTCTTTATCTTTACACATTGTACATATTTTATTCCTTTATTGTCATTGTAGTGGGGTTTCAGGAGGAAGCAAGTAGCAGCACATTTGTTCAATATACCGTGTTAACTATAAAACTCTCATCTCATTTTTAGTTACCAGAATAGAGAATGACTAATTTGGCGTGCATACAGTGAAGGCCAGAAGTAGCTCAGGAAAAAAGTCATTCAACAGAACAGTTAATGTATTAAATTGCTGCTGCCAGAGGAGGTTATGCATTCTTCACTGTTGAGGATATTGTGGGCTTTTCCTCCTGTTTTAATTTTTAGTTTCACTAAACAAAATGGGCACTAGATGGCTCTATAAAAGCATATATATTCAGAACATTCCATTCAGCTCAATAATTAAAAAGCATAAAATCTTTCAGAACAAAAGAAATTTTAAGCATCTTTTTTAGTTATGAGAAAGTGAGTTGAAAACTATTACTAGCCATTAAGTAATAAATTACACACTTTAAAGTTTTGAAATGTTCTTTATTGTCAATAAATATTTATCAAATATGTACGAAATGCCAGATACTAGGAGCAGTGCTGGAGCTGTGGTGATAAGAGAAACAAAAACGGCCCTGTGGAATTTACTGGCAAAAGAAAAAAAAAAAAATTCAGAAGATAAACAAATAATTACAAATGATGAATTAAATAGTTCCAAGAATGCAAATTTTTTTTTTTTTAAATTTTCCACATTTATATCCTAATTTTCTTTTTTTCCTTTTTTTAATTATACTTTTAAGTTCTGGTTTATGTGTGCAGAACATGCAGTTTTGTTACATACGTATACATGTGCCATGGTAGTTTGCTGCACCCCTCAAACTGTCACTTACATTAGGTATTTTTCCTAATGTTATCCCTCCCCAGCCACCCACTCCCTGACAGGCCCTGGTGTGTGATGTTCCCCTCTCTTTGTCCATATGTTTTCATTGTTCAACTTTCACTTACACGTGAGAACATGCGATGTTTTGTTTTCTGATCTTGTGATAGTTTTCTGAGAATGATGGTTTCCAGCTTCATCCATGTCCCTGAAAAGGACATGAACTCATCCTTTTTTATGGCTGCATAGTATTCCACAGTGTATATGTGCCACATTTTCTTAATCCAGGCTAACATTGATGGGCATTTGGGTTGGTTTCAAGTCTTTGCTATTGTGAATAGTGCAGCAATAAACATACGTATGCATGTGTCTTTATGGTAGAATGATTTATATTCCTTTGGGTAGATGCCCAATAATGGGATTGCTGGGTCTAATGGTATTTCTAGTTCTAGATCCTTGAGGAATTGCCACACTGTCTTCCACAATGGTTGAACTAATTTACACTCCCACAAACAGTGTAAAACCGTTCCTGTTTTTCCACATCCTCTCCAGCATCTGTTGTCTCCTGACTTTTTAATGTTTACCATTGTAACTGGCATGAGATGATATCTCATTGTGGTTTTGATTTGCATTTCTCTAGTGACCAGTGATGATGAGCATTTTTCATATGTCTTTTGGCTGCATAAATGTCTTCTTTTGAGAAGTGTCTGTTCATATCTGTTGCCCATTTTTTGAAGCTTTTTGTTGTTGTTGTTGTTGTTGTTATTTTCTTGTAAATTTGTTTAAGTCCTTTGTAGATTCTGGATATTACCCCTTTGTCAGATGGATAGATTGCAAAAATTTTCTCCCATTCTGTACATTGCCTGTTCTCTCTGATGACAGTTTCTTTTGCTGAGCAGAAGCTCTTTAGTTTAATTAGATCCCACTTGTCAATTTTGGTTTTTGTTGCCATTGTTTTTGGTGTTTTAGACATGAGTCTTTGCCCATGCCCATGTCCTGAATGGTATTGCCCAAGTTTTCTCCTAGGATTTTTATGATCCTAGGTCTTATGTTTAAGTCTTTGATCCATCTTGAGTTGATTTTTGTATAAGGTGTAAGGAAAGGGTCCAGTTTCAGTTTTCTGCATATGGCTAGCCAGTTTTCCCAACACCATTTATTAAATAGGAAATCTTTTCCCCACTGCTTGTTTGTGTCAGGTTTGTCAAAGATCAGATAGTTGTAGATGTGTGGTGTTATTTCTGAGGCCTCTGTTCTGTTCCATTTGTCTACATATCTATTTTGGTACCAGTACCATGCTGTTTTGGTTACTGTAGCCTTGTAGTATAGTTTGAAGTCAGGTAACGTGATGCCTCCAGCTTTGTTCTTCTTGTCCCGGATTGTCTTGGCCATGCGGGCTCTTTTTTGGTTTCATATGAAGTTTGAAGTAGTTTTTTTCCAATTCTGTGAAGAAAGTCATTGGTAGTTTGATGCGAATAGCATTGAATCTGTAAATTACCTTGGGCAGTATGGCCATTTTCACAATATTGATTCTTCCTACCCATGAGCATGGAATGTTTTTCCATTTGTGTCCTCTCTTATTTCCTTGAGCAGTGGTTTGTAGTTCTCCTTGAAGAGGTCCTTCACATCCCTTGTAAGTTGGATTCCTAGGTATTTTATTCTTTTAGTAGCAGTTGTGAATGGGAGTTCACTCATGATTTGGCTCTCTGTTTGTCTGTTATTGGTGTATAGGAATGCTTGAGATTTTTGCATGTTGATTTTGTGTCCTGAGACTTTGCTGAAGTTGCTTATCAGTTTAAGGAGATTTTGGGCTGAGATGATGGGGTTTTCTAAATACACAATCATGTCATCTGCAAATAGAGACAATTTGACTTCCTCTCTTCCTATTCGAATACGCTTTATTACTTTCTGTTGCCTGATTGCCCTGGCCAGAACTTCCAATACTATGTTGAATAGGAGTGGTGAGAGAGGCCATCCTTGTCTTGTGCTGGTTTTCAAAGGGAATGCTTCCAGTTTTTGCTTATTCAGTATGATATTGGCTGTGGGTTCATCATAAATAGCTCTTATTATTTTGAGATACGTTTCATCGATGCCTAGTTTATTGAGAGTTTTTAGCATGAAGGGGTGTTGAATTTTATCAAAGGCCTTCTCTGCATCTATTGGGATAATCATGTGGTTTTTGTCTTTGATTCTGTTTATGTGATGGATTATGTTTATTGATTTGAGTATGCTGAACCAGCCTAAGAATGTGAAGTTTTATGAAAAGATATAAGGTGATGTTGGAACATGTAGCAGGATGTTTGACTTAGACTGGGTCAAGAAAGCTTCTTTGAGGATGCGAAGTCCCAGCTGATGTCTGAAGAATAAATAGACTGATGAAGCAACTGCCTGAAAAGGTGTGTGTTCTAGGCTGAGGAGCAGCACAGTTAAGGTTCCCACAACATGGCAGAGAACATGAGACTGAGAGAAGGCCAAGCTTCCTGGAGTGGAGTGGATAGAGAGAGAGTGGGACTAGGTGAGGCTTGTGAGGTTTCAGGGGCCAAATCATGAAGGTTTGGGATTTCACACTGAGTCTCCGGGAGGTGGAAAGCTATGAGTGTTTTAAGCACACTAGTCATGAATTTATGAATTCATGTTTTTATAGCTAACTCTTGTCACCGTGTTAAGTATGGATTGGATTTGGTAAAATTTCAACTTTTCTAAAGTTGTCCAAATCACTGGATTAATGATGGTCACCAAGGAATTATTGAAATCAGTGTATAGTAGTGGCTTTAAGGGTGTGGCTTAGAATCTAGTTAGGGACATGGTAGTCTTCCAGATAAAACCATCAAAGGAAACTTTTGCAGAATACATATATATATATATATTTTTTTCCTCATATATCTTATATTTTTAAAATGTATATATGTATTCATATTGATATGGTTTGACTCTGTGTCCCCACACAAATCTCATCTTGAATTGTAATCCTCATGTGTTGAGCAAGGGAAGTGATTGGATTATGGGGGGTGATTTCCCCCATGCTGTTCTCATGATAGTGAGTGAGTCTCACAAGATCTGATGGTTTTAAAAGTGGCAGTTTTTCCTATGCTGACTCTCTCTTTCTCCTGCCAGCTTGTGAAGAAGATACCTGCTTTTCTCTCTGCCCTGATTGTAAGTTTCCTAAGGCCTTCCAAGCCATGCGGAAATGTGTCAATTAAATATCCTTTATAAATTACCCAGTCTTTATAGCAGTGTGAAAAAGGACTAACACACACATACACACACACATACACACAGAGCACTATAGCTAAATGCTTACAGTATAATGTGGTCTATGATTCTTATTAAAGTTATTATTTTAGTTTTTTGATTGAATTTTTAGTTAAATAAAAATTATTGTTTATTTTTAATTAAATAGGCATTACTTTAATTGATATTTGGTTTGGATTGTATCATAAGATGTGAAGGGATTGAGAATGAGGTAAAATGGCATAACTTTGCCTACTTTTTGTTATTTCTTATATATTATATATAACATATAATATTATTCTCCACTATGTGTTTGTACTAGTTTAGCCTTAATCAGTTCAGTCTTCATTTGATCTATAATTGAACAACCCAAGCCATAGGAACATACTATAAATTTTTCTAGAAATTTTAGAGTTGGAAAGGGTGTTACTGATCATCTTTTTTTTTTTTTTTTTTTTTTTTTTTTTTAATTTTACACTGTGTTTTTGTGGAATCTTAGGCAGTTCCTTTAGGGTGTCTATAAGTTGCCTGGGAAGTGGATGAGTTTCAAACTGGCAATACTCTGCCTTCCTCTGCTTGAACTGGAGAAACCCTGCTTATTGGTAAGCTTTTGTGCAAAATTTCATATGATGAGAACTTCATGTTGATATAAAGTTGGAAATACTCTGATTTTGTTCAATATACTCATTTTCATGGGAGCACACTGAGGTTTAGGGTTGTAAAAGGATTTTCACAAGTTCCAAATAAAAGAAACAGGACTTTCCCTGAGACATCTGGTGTAAGCAACTCACGAATTCCATTACACACAAAGATAAGCTGATGTGTAAATAAATTTGCATGACTTTTTAAAATGAGAAAGCCCAAGTATTTCAATAAGAAATATAGAATTCCCAGAGTAAATAGAAATTAAAAGTTATACAATGTACATATAAAGAGAAAAACATTGTTCTCTTGTATGATGAAATCATATTCTTGTTTTAAATTGTACTGCTTTGCTTAGGTCCATGTTTAAATATAGTAGCATTTACTATAGTCTCTTACAGATTATAGATGTTCGAAATTTTTTTTCTGATCCTTTTTAGGAGTATCTGGAAGGAGGCTACACACAAATTAGCAGGAAATAAGTGACAACAAAATTTATCAGTTAAGAAGTGACCAAAGAATTAACTGCAACCCCCATCTGGTGCACTGTCACATGGTGAAGTGTTAAGTGACAATAGCAATGTAAGAAACTGGCTGCTCTTGGGGATACTTTCAGGTTGATAAGTCCTAAGAATTCAAATCCTGGAATAATAACAGTCCTAAGAATTCAAATGCCCATTTTTCTAGGAGAAAATTATTTTTTTTTTTGTAGTTTTGGGAATCTGGTTCAGAGAATCATGAAAGACCAGCGGAGGCATCACTGTGAGCAAGAGTTATAACCACAATATTTAACCATCAATAGGAAGAGGACTTAAAGCAATCAGAATACAGTAAGTCTGGATCAAAGTTTTTGGGGTCCTCTACTGATTCAGATATTATCCCTTCGGTTGCTGGATCCTGGGTTTGCTAGGGGGAAGGCATAGGGGCTTAGGATAGTGACTGTTTACCAAGTACTATAGAAATATGTCAATGTACTAATGTTACTGGCTGAAATTCAGTTCCTTTTATGGGAATAAAAAGTCTTTCTCTTTGAAGAATGTTGCCCGGAAATTTATCTGGATCTACTGTATTTATTTCTTAAATCTCTTCTCTTGCCCATTTGTGCACTCATGCAAAATTTGATCGTGGATTTGCTCTTTAGATTCAGATATCACTCTGACTTATTATTTCATCTTTACCTCTTTCCCACATGCACTAATATTTTAGGCTTTGGTGACTCACTTATCTCTGCTATTATTGGTGGCTGACCTCAGTTTATTGCTTTTTGATTACTTTGCTACATTTGTAAATTTTTCAAACATAATTTTGGGAGCTCAAAGAATGCTATCATTCTATACAAGAGGTGAGGGAAATATATAGAGTAAGTACCTTTCAAAGTTAAAAGGGTAGTGCTTCAGAGGCAATTAATATGTGTTCTCTGGTAAAGTAGTTAAACAAATCGGGAAAACAATAAGTGGTTACGAATTTAGACGTTTTCTGTGGGAAAACAAAGTCTTGATAAACCTCCTGGGTTAAAGTTCAATTAACTATTGATTAATTAATTTAAATATTCTTAAAATTATAGTTATGGTATTATTTTCAGGCTTGCTTTCAGTCAACATTCCCCACAGCATTGGAATGTTGTGTATAGTGCTTCTTTAAAAATATTTATTTCTAGCTCCCATTCTGAAGAGAAATTTTTGTTAGTGAATGAGAATTTCCTAGAAGAGGACCTGGAAATCTAGATGTTAAGAAGCACCCCAGTTAAATCTTATAAACAACCAATTTGAGAGACATTGTTCTGTTTTATAGATCATGTTGTTATAAGGCAATGTTCGAGAACAATCAGAGTGTTTAGTTGAATACTCATAAACATATTTGCTTCTAAATCTATATAAGTAATATTTTTTGTACAAAACGCATTAGTGCTTTAATAGCATAATGTTATAGAAAAGACATTAACACAACTTTCAGTTTATCTATTGTAGATATAAGTTATTTTACAACTTTATAAGTGGTAGGATACTGGTAATGATAAAATGATTCTTTTCCATAGAAAGGTAAATTGTGTCTTATGTAAACGCAATTGATATTGACCTATTCTGCATGTTTTGGGCAAATTTAATATTTCATGCACACACATAGACACACACACACAAACACACACACACATACTCTTTGGGTCATTCTAACATCTTACTGGTTCTCTCAAGAATGAATGAGTCAGGAAGTCCTAGCCAGAGCAACCAAACGAGGGAAAGAAATAAAAGGCATTCAAATAGGAAAATAAGTCAAACTATCTGTCTTCACTGATGACATGATTCTATACCTAGAAAACTATAAAGACTCCACCAAAAGGCTGCTAGAACTGCTACAGGATTTTAGCAAGGTTTCAGAATATGAAATTAATGTACAAAAATTTCTGATGTATTTCTATACACCAGTAATGTTAGGCTGAGAGTCAAATCAAGAACATAATTCCATTCACAATAGCCACAAAGAAAATGAAATACTTAGGAATATAGCTAACCAAAGAGGTGAAAGATGTCGACAAATAGAACTATGAAACACTGCTGAAAGAAGTCAGAGATGACACAAATAAATGGAAAAATATTCCATGCTTATGGATTGAAAGAATCAATATCATTAAAATGGCCATACTGCCCAAATCAACTTACAGATTCAATGCTATTTACATCAAACTAACAATGTTATTCTTCACAGAGTTAGAAAAAACTAGCCTAAAATTCATGTGGAACCACAGAACAGCCTGAATAGCCAAGGCAATTCTAAGCAAAAAGAAAAAAGAGTCATCACACTACCTGACTTCAAACTCTACTATCAGGTTATAGTAACCAAAATGGCATGGTACTGGTACAAAAACAGGCACATAGACCAATGGAACAGAATAGAAAACATAGAAATAAAACTGCACACTTATCACCATCTGATGTTTGACAAGACTGACAGAAACAAGCAATGGGGAAAGGATTCCTTATTCAATAAATAGTGCTGGGATAACTGGCTAGCCATATGTAGAAGAATGAAACCAGATCCTTAGATCTTTTACTATATATAAAAATTAACTCAAGATGGATTAATGATTTAAATGTAAGATCTAAAACTATAAAAATCCTAGAAGAAAACCTAGAAAATGCCTTTCTTGACACTGGCTTGGCAAAGAAGTTTTGACTTAAGTCCTCAAAAGCAATTGCAACAAAAGCAAAAATTGACAAGTGGGACCTAATTAAACTAAAAAGCTTCTGCACAGCAAATGAAATTATCAGCAGAGTACTTAGACAAACTACAGAATAGGGAAAATATTCATAAGCTATGCATCTGACAAAGGTCTAATATCCAGAATCTATAAGAAACTGAAATCGACAAGCAAAAAACAACCCCACTAAAAAATGGGCAAAGGACAAGATCAGACTTCTTAAAAGAGAACATACAAGTGGGGTTGTTTTTTGAAAATGTTCATATCATATGAAAAATGTTCAACATCATTAATCATTAGAGAAATGCAAATCAAAACCACAATGAGATACCATCTCACATCAATCAGAATGGCTATTTTTAAAAAGTCAAAAAATAACAGATGCTGGTAAGATTGCAGAAAAAAGGAGATGTTTATATGCTACTGGTGGGAATGTAATTTAGTTCAGCCATCATGGAAAGAAGTGTGGCGATTTCTCCAAGAACTTAAAAAGTCAAAAAATAACAGATGTTGGCGAGGCTGTGGAGAAAGGGGGATGCTTATGTACTGTTGATGGAAATGTAAATTAGTTCAGCCACTGTGGAGAGCAATTTGGACATTCTCTGAGAGCTTAAAACAGAGCTACCATTTGACCCAGCAATCTCATTATTGGGTATATACCTAAAGGAATATAGATCATTATACCAAAAAGACACATGCATTCATATGTTCATCGCAGCACTATTCACCATAGCAAAGACATGGAATCAATCTAGGTGACTATCAATGATTGACTGGATAAAGAAAATGTGGTACATATATACCATGAAATACTACACAACCATAAAAAGGAATGAAATCATGTCCTTTGCAGCAACATGGATGGAACTCAAGGCTTTAATCCTTAGTGAACCAGTGCAGGAACAAAAAACCAAATACCACATGTTCTTACTTATAAGTGGGAGCTAAACACTGAGCACACATGAACATAAACATGGGAACAATAGACACCATGGACTACCAGAGAGGGGAGTGGTGGGGAGGGGGGCATGGGTCGAAAATCTACTGGGTACTGTGCTCATGACCTGGGTACAATATATCCATGTAAGAAACCTACACATGTACTCCCTATAAATGAAATAAAAGTTGAAATTAAAAAGAAAAGGGCCAAGACACTCAGTGAAGCAGAGAGTAGAATGGTGGTTGACAGAGAAGAGGAGAGGCAAATAGGGAGGCGTTGGTCAAAGGGTACAAAGGTCCATTTTTACAAGATGAATAGTAAGTCCTAGATCTCTACTGTATGTCATGATGAAATACAACACAATACTTTATTGTATACCTAAAAATTTGTTAACAGGATAGGTCTTATGTTAAGCATTAACATAAGACATACACAAAAAATAAAAAGGATGAGAGGGATAAAGGAATTAATGAATCAAATAATACCTATGAGGAGTGCTTGTTTAATATTTATATCACATTCATAATTATCCCCTCTTTAAAAAATTATCAACAGAAAGTATGTTATTCACATCTTTTGTATCCACCCAAGAAAGAACCAAGCCATCAGTTATTATACTGCTTTTTCACTCAAAAAGTATACATAGTGCCTAGTTGAAATTAATCAACCACCCTAAAATTTACCTTTTATAAAGCACATTGAGAGTTATATTTTTAGAGGAATTGAGGAAACAGTTTCTAGGGGCAATGCTACTCATGGTGAATTATATACACTATATTGGACAACGTGGACCATGACAATTTTCAGAGCAGGAGGATTACTGTTAAGTTACTACTTGGGAATCTATATTTGTGCTCTGACACTACTCTCTGTTCTTCCATGGGAGAGAAAAGCTCTAACGAGTGTCTCAGTCTGGGTTGCCCAAGAGTAACTGATGCAATCCTGATTCCATATGGTTTAGTCTTTCATAGGTACTTTCTCCACATTATTTATGAATATAGGTCTTGAGTTTAGTAATGAGGGAGATCACATTGCCTGCTTCAGTGACTCAGAACTGAGGCAGACACATAAACTTATTGTGATATTAATAATAGAGGAAGGTACAAGCTACACAGTAACCATGGAAACATAGTTAAATGATCAAGGAGTATCAGGAATTTTTAACAGAAAATGTGACATTTAAACATGATCATAATTTTTTTTCTAGAATGTTTATTTAGTCTTTTAATTATTAAAGTAGTACACAAATCCATTCTAGCCATAAAAATGTCAAACATGAAAGCAAGGTCCTTAAGGATGAATTAGGGAGGTGGGTCTAGAGAGGAGAGTACATGCCAGTGAGTGGAAAATCACAAGTGAAACAGGTGTCATGAAACAGGCATGACATCTTTGGGGAATGTGAATAAGTTATTCAATGTAACTGGGACATAGGATATTATGGGGAGTGATTGACATGAAATTGCAAAGAAGCCTGGGTCAAGGTTTTAAAGGACTACGTTTAGATGTTTAGATTTTCCCCTTTGGCAGTGGGGGACCATTAAAGAGTTTTAGGCACAGAAATAACTTGATTGGATCTGGATTAGAAAGATCACATTGGGAATGAGCTAAGGTAGGAAGGGTCTGAAATCAGAGAGAAAAACACAGGGTTTTATCTGCATAGTTTATTTGAAATCTCACACAAGTATAGGCATTGT